TCCTGATAAACCCATCGTGAGTTGAAAGTGTGTCAAGTGGAGAACGCATCTCATACTACACTGCAGAGCACCGGGGCTGGCTCCCGTGACTGAGGGCCGGACGAGGAGCTCTGCTTTCTGCCGCTGTCCAGCACCAGGGGAGAGGACCCTACGGCGCATTGGGAGCCTGGGAAAAGGTCAGAACTCAAAACCTGCAGTATGGTTTCGATGGAACGTGTATCGTTTTCATATGGTCGTAAAGTCAAGAAGACCATCAAGTGAAACCTTCCCAAGTCAGGGACTGTCTGTGCACCGAGTTGCAGGTGTGAACATCTCCCCCACCTCCGGCCATGGACTCCTGGAGGGCTGGAGCCCCGAAAATGACTGACACAGAACAGGGCGGAGCCTACAGGGGCTGAGGAAGGCTCCTGAACGGCCAGGCCTGGGACGCACCCCGGTGGAAACAGGCCAGACCCCAGCAGCGTCTCTGAAGCCATGTCTGTGAGGATGCTGCGCACTGTGTCTCTGGGGACCGGAGAGCTGATGGCCCTTGTGCTGTGGACTCCTTGGGGCCATCTCCCCCACCGGGGCTGGGACTCTCACCGCCTAAAGAGAGCTGAGGCCAGACCCTTGTCAAAGAAGTGGCATCCCGCAGAGGCCTAAGAAGCAGTGCTGTGTCTCCCAGGCACAGACCCAAGGCGGGCCGGGGCCACCCGGCACGGAGGGAGGGAGGCCCTGGCGCTCACCCTGCTCCCAGCGCCTCGGCTGCAAGCTCTCCAGCTTTGAAGTCCTGTTTCCCTCATCTCGTCCAGATTCCTTTGCAAAACCTCATGGAACTAGAACTTGCAAAGAGTCATTCGCAGTCCAAAATGCCCGAAGAACTCTTTTAATGAGATTTCTCAAGACTTTTCATCTCTTTCCCCCACTGCCTGCCTTTCCAGACAGGAAACTGTATTAGAGTACGATGTTTTCATGCCAATTTTTAAAGTCTCGTTCCTTTGCTTCCAGGGGCTGGAGTGAGTGTACGCAGGGGGTCAGTGGTCAAGGCCAGGGCCACCGTGTCCACTGGAGGCTGAGAAGGAGCCTAAGGGCCTGCCACTCTGTCGAGCCAGGCCGCACATGGGAGACGGGGAGAGCTCGGCGGAGGGGAGCGGATGAACGCAGTGTAGGCAGGACCCTGGTAAGGCTGCTTCACGGTGGGGGGGGGGGGCCCGCTGTGTGTGCGCCACAGGGGGGGGACTAAGAGGTGATGGGTGGGGAGTGCAGGTGCCATCTCGGATTATCATGGGTGCAGGAGCTTTTGGTGGGGGCAGAAGGGGCAGCTTGGGCTGGTGCAGGGACCTGTCCAGTCCCTGCAGTGGGCAGCAGTCGCCGTCTCTAATTGTGAGTGTGGTCAACGGCCAGGTGGGGAGACTTAGGCCAATCGTGAATCCCCGATGGGTCTCAGCCTCCCTGCCCAGGAAGGAGGCAAAGGGATGGACTAGGTGGGCCTCTCAGGTCATTCCCGGGTTCGGCATCTGACGACCTGATGACCTGGTATAAGGAATGCTTAGAAGGGGGTGGGGAGACGCTGGGCGGGAGTCCGCTGCACCAACTCCAGCCTTGGCAAGGTCCCTGCGATGCGCTTTGCCTGGGCTGTCCCTCCCTGGGGGAACACCTACCATCTCTTTAAGGTTCAAGTGCAACCCCTCCCTGTTTCCTCACCCTCCGCGGCAGGGACTGCCACCCCCGTGCAAGGCCCTCCGTGCAGACCAGTGTGCAGCACAGCCTGGGACGAGCGGGCCAGACTGGGAGCTCTGTGGCCTGTGCCAGGCTGTCCTCGCCTCGGCCCTCACTCTGCTGCCCTGCCCAGCGCCTGGTCCGGGAGGGTCTCGTAACTATCTGCCGAGGGAAGGATGGAGAGAGCAGAGGGCCCTGTCCTCTGAGGCCAGATTCCCCCAAGTCCTCTCTTCACCCTAGAGCACTCTCACGGGGGGACCCGAGGTTTACGAGAAAACACAGCTGGGGTTCCAGTGTCAGTTCTCACTGAGTTCCTGACAACACCGTGCAGGGGGAAGGCCACTCCCCACCCTGCGCTGGCCCGGCAGGCCTTGGGAACAGGAGAGCCCTCATGCCCTGCGAGGGGCCTGGCGAGACTGGCACATGCTCCAAGCAGACAGCATGTTCAGCCCCAGTCCCACCGGCGGTCCAGGTGATTGATGCCAGGTGCCGCTCGCTGGCTGACAGCCAGACTGGTCATCGGGAATCGGGCTACTTTGGGGAGCAAGCCCACACTCCCTTAGCCAGCTGCCCTGACCGCCATGGAATGGCTTAGCCCACCTCCCCAGTTTTGAGCTTCCTCAAGGGAAAGCTGATCAGGCGAGACTGCCCCTCTGGCCTTCAGGATCTAATGGCCCGAGACAAACATGTGTCCATGGGCAGAGACCACTCGTCCCAACTGGGCCTGATGGCAGGGTGTTCCCCTCCCAGGCCCTGGCACGGGCCGCTGGGCTGTGCCCTCAACGTCCGCCACCTCCTCCCCTGGCTGGGAGGTGCGGGGGTCCAGCCAGAGCACCCCGAGGACAAAGGGTGGCTGAGCCCACAGGTGGCGGAAATCTGGGGAGTCAGGGACACCTTAGTGTCCGAAGCGAAGGCGCCCTCGGCAGCCATGCGAGTCTGTCTCACGCGGGGCAGACGGGGGTGCGGGGCCCCAGAGCGAGGGAACTCGCCCAAGGGCACAGACTGAGCAGTAAGTGGCAGGACAGAACTCCTGTCCAGAATGGTGGACACTGGGTCCGTTCTGTGGCTCTTAAAAATTGGCCGTCACAGGAACTGCAGGGCTGACCCGGGAAAGCAGGGGTGGGGTGGGGGGAGTAACGTAAATAACGTTTACACAGCCCCGCTTGGGCTCCAGCTGCCTTCTGTCTGTAGGAGCATTGCCATCCGCCTGTACCCCACGCACAGATGAGGACCCTGAGGCCCAGAGAGGGGACGTGACTGCCACGCCCACAAGGCCAGGGAAGGGGGCAGCCTGGGCCCTGCTTTCTCCCTGCACTGCCAGCTTGTCACTGCGAGGGCGGGCTCCAGGCGCCGTCCAGCCCTCATGCAGGAACGGCGAGGTCTGCCAGAAGGCGCGCCGCCCCCTCCTCTCTGATGCATTCCATCTGTCCTCTTGGGAGGACCCCCCTGGCCAGCCCCAGACGCTGGGACACCGGGAGAAATGAGATCCCCTGAGCAGCTGAGAGGCTGCCTGTGTGGTGACCATCATGCTGAGGAAGCCCAGGGGGCGGGCAGGCTGCCTGGGTGGGCAGGAAAGGGGGGTGACAAGTAAGTGCCACCTCTGATGTTCCTGGCTTTCGGTAGCTCTCGCGCCGCAGGAGAGCACAATTCTCCTTGAGACAGGAATGTGGCATCACTCCTGGGAGCATCACTCGTGGGCACCCGGTTGCTGGGTGAGCCTGGCAGGGAGGGAAGGAGAGTGAGGGCTGCATGGATCAGTGAGAGGCTGAGGCCTTTGTCGGCGTGGCCAGTGGTGTGTACCCGCCCCCACGCTCCAACGACCGCCCTCTCTCCAGCTTTGGCCGCCTCCAGCCCAACCTCCTCGGCCCAGTAGCTGTTTAACTTATTGAACTTTCCCCAGCTGCGACCGCTGACCTGATTCTTTAAGCGGCCGGCTCTGAGGGTGGACAGCGATGTGCATAGATGCCTTTGGTCCTGAGGGCCTTCCAGTAGCTTACAAATCCCCTCCACGTCCATCCTCCCTGGCCAGGTGGTCATCCAGCCCCTGGGGCAACCCCCAGTGACGGGATGCTCACTACCCATTGAATCGGCCTGAGGTCACTCTAGTTCCTGACCTGCTCTGTTAGCAAACTCTTCTCCTCGCTGAGCCGAATCTGCCTGCCCACGAGTCCCTCTTCGGGCCCCCCACCGCGTGCGCACTCCAGCTGCCCAGACAGTCCTCGGGAGGGGTGTGGTCCCACCCTTCTCCAGGTGGACTTCCAGGGAGCGCTTCTGCTGCCTGCCCAGCGGCGCCCCTTCCGGGGTGCACTGATCTCATGTCCTCACGGCCGGCCAGCACACGGGCTCTCCCGACAGCCGTGTCCAGCAGGCCCTCTCTCCACTGCGTGGCCCCTAACGCTGGCGAACAGAGCAGAGGAACGGAGGAAGCAGAGGGGCTTCACTGTTCCTGGTGGCCTGTGCTGGCTGGAGGCCTGGGTTTTTATATCCTAATTCCATCACTAACTCTCTAGGTATCCTTGGGCAATCCCTGCTCTCTCTGGGCCTCACTTTTCCTATCTATAAAATGGGTTTTAGACCGTCTGTTGGGTCCCCTCTAATAATAGCACCGACTAATGAAGCACTCAATCCCAAAAACCTCTTTTCTTATTTTTGGGGTTACCTAAGCGGACAGCAGTGCCTCGGGGGTCAAAGATCTGACAGCTCACAAAGCAGCCCCAGGTGCTGCCACCATTGGGTCTCTGCCCAGCGCCTCTCACGAGAACCTTTGTGAGATGCCTAGGAATCAGACCTGTCCAAATAGCAACCTAGAACCCAGGAAAAGGTCGCTCTCACAGCAGCAGCGGAGAGTGCTAAAGAGTCAGTCAAACAGCTGGTCTCAAGTCCTGACCCCACCCTGACCCTGGGCCAGCCACAGTCCCTTCTCCGTGCCTCAGTTTCCTTACCTGCAAAACAGGGACAATGTGTTTTTCGTCAAAGCATGTTGGGGGGCTTGACAGGGCCTAGGTATGCTAAGAGCTTCATATAGTCCCTGGCTCACGGCAGATGTGAAAGCTACTCTTGGTTACTTAATATAAACCCTAGGAGGAGGCGGCCCCTCCTCTTCTGGGGAGGCAGAAACAGAAGATGAAGACCCCTCTGCATCCCGGGGGAGTATGATCAAATCGGAAAACCCAGGCTTGAAATAACTTGTGCTGGCAGATTTCCCAGGGGGACGCCGGCAGGCCTTTTGGCCTCAGACCCGAGAGCTGGCGGTGCTTCGCCGGCAGCTGCCGAGGAGGGCTGGGGGTGACGAGCGTACTCACTTCAGGGACAGGGAGTAGTCGTGCTTGCTGGTCTGGCTGTTCCGGACAAGGTAGCTGCACTCCTTGCAGAGCCGCAGCAGGTTCTCGGCGTCGCCTCTGCTGATGGCTCCGTGATACCATCTGGGGAGAAGAGAGATGGTCAGGACCCTGGCATGGCACCCTGAAATCTGCTCCTCCCTGGGGAGGCTCAGCCCCTCAGAGGGCAGCTGTTGCTTCTCAGGCCCCCTTGTTACAAGGCAGGCGTGTGTGCGCGTGGGTCCAGTCATCCCGCAGACATTTACCGACCGCCTGCCGCCTGCCAGGCCTGGGGAGAGAACGGCGAACAAACCGACCAACCCACAGCCGCCTCCCGTGCGAGGCCCACGTTGTAGTGCGGGTGCTATGGAGGACACCGAGCGTGGCCGCGTGGGCTGCGGCTCCCAGGAGGGACGGCTGTTTTAAACAGTGGCCAGGGAGGCCTTCTGGAGAGGGTGAGATTTCAGCGTGGACCCGAGGGAGGAGATGGAGGAAGCCATAAAGGCCAGCAGTTGGAAAAGAGCATTCTGGCAGAGGGAAGGGCAGCACAGGCAGAGGCCCGAGCGGGAGGGCCTGCTGTGTTTGGGGAACAGCAAGGTGGTCAGCGTGGAGTGCGGCAGGGGGCGGGGCATCAGTGGGGAGGCCCAACGGGCCATGGCTAGGGGCCTGCGTGCGCTGTGAGGATTCTGGCTTTCTCGGTCCAAGTCGACCCCGAGACCATCAGAGGGTGCTGACAGGAGGGACATGTGTGACTCGGACATCTGCAGACAGCTGTGCTCATCACTCAGGAGGTGGCCACGCCATTGCGGCCACATCGCCTGGACGTGTGGGAATCCCAGCCTCTCTGCTTCCAGACGCCACGTGGTGAGCAGCGGAAGCAGAAGGCGGGGTGCAGTGGCTGATGGCCCCCGACCCCCAGCAGCAGGACAAGAGGGAAAGAGTGGCTGCCAAGACTGGAAAAGTCGAAGGTATAAATTCAGCAGGAGAGTGAAAACACCGCTTAGAGGGTGCACTCGGGTCACTTTTCCATTTCCGTCACAGTCCCTGAGGGGCGGGGCTGTGAGGAGCGGGTGGGAGCCGGGTCTGGGAACAGAGGTGCTGGGCTGAGAAGCTGGACCACGCCTCGGCCACAGAGGCACACACGGGTCGGCCGCTGTCCAGCCAGGGGGTCTGGGACGAGTGGATGAACCTTGCTGAACCTTGGTTCTCTTTCAAGTTAAGGTCACTCCACCCCTGTTTTGGGGTTGAAGAGTAAATGGCATGATACATAAAAGGGCTTAGGCAGAACCTGGGTAGGGTGAGTGTCAATGAATGGCAGCTACAAGCATCAGCAGAAAGAGGCTGAACTTACAGACAGCCGCGGGCACTTCCCTGGCTATCGTGTTTCAGGCCGCTGCCTGGCCTGCAGGCCACCCGGCCCTGGCCACGAGTGCCCTGCGAGCAGTGCGGGCAGTTTGGCCACAGACAGGCTCTTGGAGAAGGCCCTCACAGCAGCTGCCTTTGCCACCCACAGGGTGGTTCTCCTTGAGGGAGGCGGCCGTGGGGCTGATGTAGTTACAAACAAATGAACGAATGAGAGAACGCAACCAGATTTAGGGAAGCAAGGACTGGAGAGTGGACGTGAGTGCTCCTGTCCAATAAGCACACGACTGAGTCGCTGACAGCCCAGCTGTGACCACTGATGGCACGGCCCTGGGGCTGGATGCCCGGAGGGGGCACTGGCCGAGGGAAAGAGCAGGGAAGCAGGCAGACCACCGACCTGCCTTCCTTCCTAGACCTGCACAGCAATGCAGAGGAACATGGAGGTGGAGGCTGCGTGGGCTGCCATGGCGAAAACACTCCCAGAGTCGTGAAGGCTCAGGGTTATGCTGCAGAGAGGACAGTGGACTGCAACCAGGAGAGACGGACCAGGATGGAGCCGACCTCAGGAACACGAGTGAACAGTGTGGGCAAGGTTGTTTTCTGGGAAATTTCACCTGTGTAACACGCCCCCAGGGAACTGAACAAAAACCTTATTTTCTTAGGAAAACAAGCTCCAGCCAGCTGAAACAGAGGTGCCCTCAGGGACAGGCCTGGAAAGTGGTCTCCGGGGAAGTGCCGGCTGCTGCCGCCCAGCCCTGAGCACAGGAGCGAGCACGCTCTCAGAGAAGCAGGGGCTCCGCTGGGCCCTCGTGAAGGGCAGTCCCTGGTGGGCAAACAGGATGAGCTGCTGGTTAACTCCCAGGCTGCTCAGCTGCCCGGCGTGGAGAGAAAGGCAGGGAGCTCAGTGGAGGATGAAAGAAGACCTAGGCAGAGTCTGGGAGACAAGGGCCAAAGGACACCGAGGGGAAGCCTCGGCCAGCCTGTCAGCAGGAGGCTGCCCAGGAGACGGGATGGTGGGGGTCCTGTGGGGCTGGGGGCCAACTGCTGCCCTGGAGCAGGCTCCGCCTGGACCACAAAGAGAATTCGGGCAGGAGGACAGCCTGGGAATGTGCTGGACTTTGCAGAGCTGGCCCGTCAGGTCGGAACGATGGAATTCAGATTCAACCATCACCACCCGGCCTATCCAATATCCATTAGCTTATCCAATATTTACTCACCACTCACTCCATCCTTGATCTCACAGGGCCAATACAGGGAGATGGAGAATCGATAAATAGGTTCAGGAAACGATCTCGGATAGTGACAAGTGCTAGGTAGGAATACGGGGTCTCTGATAAGGTAGTGACCGGGAGGGGCCAAAGGGGGAGCCTACCTTAGACTGAAGGAGGCTTCTAAGGAGATGACATTTGACCTGAGACTCTGCTTCACGAGAAAGAACCAGAGAAAATGAGTTCTCCACAGAGGACCACCACACGCAAAGGCCCTGCAGTGGGAACGAGCCCGGGGTGTTGGCAGAGCAGAAGGGCAGCAAGGCTGTCTGTCTGGCACCACGGGCCTGGGGAGCGGGGCAGGATGAAGGTGGAGTGGGGGGGGGGCCCGTTCCCTGAGGCCTTGTGGGCCAAGGGAAGTGTGAGTGCATCCTAAGCACAGTGGAGGGCAACGGGAGTTTTAAAACGAGATATCACTCGCTCTGGAGGACCTTACAGAGGCTCAGCCAGGCTGACCGGAAGAGGGGCCGGAGGGGAGGTGGAGCAGGACAGAGGTTACGAGGCGTCCGCAGTGGCCCGGATGGGAGGTGGCCGCAGAGATGAGAGGAATGGACGGACCTGGGCTGTGTTTTGGGTGGACAGTTGGCAGAACTTACTAATGATTACACGCTGTTCTAAGGCAAAAAAAGGACCGAGGATGAGTCCAGGTTTGGGGCTTGAGCAACTAGGTGGACGTGGTGCTGTCTGTGTGGTGGGGAAGCTGGGGGAAGAGTGAGTGTCTGGGAGATTAAGAGCCCAGATCCGAGCACGTGAAATTTGAGATGCCCGCTCGTCAGCCAAGTGGAGATGCCGAGAAGGCAGCTGGATGTGGGGGTCGGGCGTTCTGGGAGAAGAGTGGGCCGGGGCACGCGCTGGTGACTCACCACCGGGGCCCGAGGAGACGACCCAGGGGGAGTGCGTGGCTGGAAACCGAGCCCGGACAGCCCACCCTTCGGGTCAGGCTGAGGGGAGGAGCCGGCAGCCAGGGAGGCAGGAAAGAGCCCCAAGCAGACCTTGTGTTGGAGGAGGTAGCCGTCTGCGGCGCTGACCGCCATGGAGGAGGGAGGAAGTCACCTGGTGACCCGGGCAGGAAAGGGAAGCAGGCGGTGGCGGGCGAGAGAGAAGGCGGGTGATGAGAGGGAGAAAGACGGCGCTGGCAGCTCAGCGGGGACTCCGCCCACTCGTCAGATAGCTATTTGCCGAGCAGCTATTATGTGCCAGGCACTGTTGTAGGTACTGAGGACACCGTAGTGACCCACACAAGTTCCCGTCCTCACGGAACTTAGGTTCCCAACAGGGGCAGGATTTACAGAAAGATCCAGATTTTATTTACTTATTAACTTTCAAGAAGTTTATTAAAACAAAAAAGTTCGTGATGCAGGCCAGAGGGGTTTATGAGTCGCCTCCAGGAGACGGGGCGTGGGAGGGGTGTCCCCTGAGCACCCGGGCAGCTTTCCCGCTGTCCCAGGAGGGAAAGCAGGCAGAAGTGTGACTGCCCACCCCCAACAACCCTGTAGGACAGAGCCCTCAGTGAGTCAGCCCCACCTCCCCTCTCCCCTGTGCTAGGGTGGAGGAGGTGCCATGGGGGGTGGGGGCAGGGGAGGGGAGGGGAGGGATTAGGTGATCCTCTCTGTCCGGGTCACCAGCACGTGCTGGAAGTGGGCTTTTACCGGAGCACACCTCTGGGTGACGAGTCAGGGCCTTCCACGGGCCAGAATAATCCTGGGAAGAAGAGATGGCAGGGAAGGGAAAGCTGGCCATGATTCTGGACTTGGCCGAGAGCCTTGTCGAGGGGGAACGGGAAAGGAAAGCGAGCAGAACTGCCTCTGAGGGCCCCAGCCTCACGGAAGCTCTGCCCGGGGGTGGGAAGAGTGCAGGCTGGGCTGCTGACGCCAGGCTGACCTGGGTCGGGATGCAGGCCGAGCGGCTCCTGGCATCTCCGGATCACCCTGTGTTTGTTGGTGAGAAGTGCACAGTTGGATCCGACAGAAGCAAAACCTGCCACCCAGTCTGCGTGGCTGTGAGAAACGACTACAGCGCCCACCGGGAGCGCCCCCCCACCCCACCCCGCCACCGCTGTGTGCTCGGTGCGGCCGGCGAGGGGCTGGCCCAGGGGAGGCTGCAGCCCCCCGAGATGACAGCGCACGCTGAGAATGGGCGCAGGAGCACGTGACATCGTCGGGAAGCCCTGCATCCTGCTCACTGGGCGAGCGTTTCCTGCGAGGCATGCACTGCCGGCCTTGCTGCGAGCAGAACCCCTGGGTGGAGACCGGCACAGTTCGTGATCCACACGAGACAGTCTCCCGAGGAACCGGCTTGGCGTCAGCTATCTCTCGGCCGACTGGGTGCCTGCTCGGTGCCAGGCATGTGCTAAGGGTGGAGGGCAAGCGTGTGCACGAGGAGAGGGAATGGAGCAGAGTCATGGGGCTGGAGTTCAAATCCTGCCTCTGCACTGGAACCCTGACAGCCTAGCAAAGGCTCTGCCCCCTTGGATCCCTGGTTTTCTCACCTGCGCAGGGGGGAAGATGACCCCACTGGTCACACATTTGCTTGTTTAGAGGCTGATACTCCAGCACGAGACCCAGGACCTGCTCTATCACGTTCCCGGAGAAGCTCACTCTAGTTCAGGTGTGCAGAATGGTGAGGATATGAAAAACTACTTGGGCAATTCATGGAGTGAGCGGCAGGCTCAGGTGATGGGATTTCATCCTGGAGGTGACGGGGAGCCACCGAAGGTTTCAGAGCAGAGCAGGGACCTGCACCTATTAGGACCCTGGCAGAGAAGGGGGAGAACCATCATGGCCACGGGGGGGCCGAAGCGGGCCCGACCAGCAGGGCTGGGAGAAAACCCAAATCCGGAGTGTCAGGGCCATGCCCAACTGATACCAAGCAGATGTGGGGCAAAAACGTCACAAGGTAGAACGTAAATCCAGTTTACAATAAGGGGACCGGATTTGGTATACATTTAGCTATCCCAAAACTCATTTGTTACATGATGAAAATAGAAACTGGCACGGAAGAGGGAAGAGTGAACTGTGTCCCTCCTAGTCACCGAAAGTAAAGGAGGTGACGCCGTGTGGACAGAGAAGGCACCTGGCTAGGAATAAGGCGCATGTTCTAATCCCGTTCTGCCACGGACCTGGTGGTGGCCTTGACTTCCGTGAGCCTCAGCCTGCCCATCTGTACACGGGGGCAGGGGAGGGGTGTAGACTTAAAGACCCCCACAGCTCTAACATTTTCTTAGCCTGCGGATTTAAAAACCAAGATCAAGAAAACAGAAGGAAGAGCAGGGACTATGAGCTGGGAGCTGAGGTTGTGCTTCGCCCCCTTAGAACTTACATTTGCTTCTCCAGTGGGACGGCGGGGTCCACTCTTTCTCCCAGGATCCCACAGAACTCGGGGCTCCCGTGTTTGATGGGCTTGAAGCCCCCGCCGGGAGCTCGAAGCTGGCGCCGCCGGTCCCGAGAAGGTGAGGGGGATGACTGTCGTTTCTCGTTGCCGTTAAACTGGGCTGTGGGGGCAGGAGAGAGAGAGAGATAGGTTACCAGGAGCTCAGCCCAACAGTTCCTGTGTGGCGCAGTGTGGCAGGTCAATTGCTCTCGTTGGGGCTTTACAATTCTCAGGAGGAAGAGCTCCAAGCAATGAATAAACACGGCTTAAAAGAGGTAGACTTCCTAAGACAGGGCACGACGGTGCTGTGAAAGCCAGATGGTACTTTCAAGGGGCTCGTTAGGTCTGCAGAGGCCGCTGAGCTCAGCTTTATCCCCAGGGAAGCCCCCTGCAACCTGCAGCAAGGGGGGGCAGGACACACCCACAGGGGCTCAGGGCCCTGGAGAGCTCTCAGGAAAGAAAGTAATTCCTTGTTTTGTGCCCCAAACCTGCCTCCCAGTAGGCTCCTTGCCTCCTCTCATTCTCCCGTCCCGACGGGGGCTGCCCTGGCCACATTGGCGCCCCTTCTCCTGGGACATCCCCACGGAGCTCCAGCCAGGGTCACGTGGCACCCCCAGGTCTGCACCTCTTCACTTGGTGCCCCTGTGTGGGCCCCACACAGCCAGCCCGGCCCTGGGCCCAGCCACCGGGGGAGGCCTGACAGTGCCTGTCACGGGGGACAGGCCCTCCCACGGGCTTTTGTCCCTTGCTGGGCCTGCAGGAACATTGCTCAGCCCCGCGGGCTTGGGGACGACGCCTCTCGAGGGCAGGCCCTTGACGATCACCCACAGAGAGCAGGGAGCACTGGACTGAAAGTGGAGCTGCGGGAAGTACTCCCGGAGAGCAGCCAGTCCACCTTGCGAGTTTCTCTTTGAGCCTCAGTGTCCTCCTCTCAAAGGCAGGGACAGTGACTGCACCCACCTTGAGGGGTCGCTGTGAGGATTCGATCACGCGCTGCACACAGAGGCCTTAGCAGAGCGCCTGGCGTGTGGTCTGTGCTCAGTCAGTGTTGTCTATTATACATACTTTACCATCGAGCCTGCTCCGTGTGGACACGGTGCTCGTCACCTCGCGTGAGCTACTGACCTGACCTGAGCTCCTCTCCTGAGCCTGCCCTGGCTTCCCATGAGCCCTTGCTAAGTCACTCAGCCTCTCTGAGGCACATTTCCTCTGTCACCTGGCTGCTGTGACGATCAGATGAGGGAATATACATCCTAAGGGCCTCAGGGACTGCTGAGTAAACTGGGCCAGGGCCTGGGAAACAAGGTTCCCAAAGTTGTGTCCAGCTGCTGGCCAACCAACACACATCCTTGACCAAGCGACACATCTCCAGCTCAGATATGGCGAGACATCCTCTGACCCCAGCCAGACATACAGCCATCAACCTGACATACAGCCATGAACTTCACATTCACGGAAGGTGGTGGGAAAACTCAGCCCGTCAGTGGTGCTGTACTGTCTACAGGGACCGAACTTGTTCTATGGGAATGAGCTTGATCTAGGACAGCGACAAGACCACGAATGAGGTCTGTGAGGCACTGCCATTCCTGCAAGACACTCTTCTCTATTAACCACTAAAGAAAACAGCAGGAAGGGAGTTCCTGCCAGATGGGGTGGACGCACCCATGTGTGCTCGCTCTCACAACTGCGCTGGGGCCTGGCAGGCCGTCCGTTCACTTACCTCCCCCCAAATACTCACTCACTCACTCACGCGGGCCAAACCCCGTTCAGGGCTGGGGAAACGGCAGCGAGCAAAGACACACATCCCTGCCTGTGGAGCTCGGAGCCCGGGCGAGGAGAGACAGACGGTTGGCGGGGGCATCAGACCCACCACACACCGGCTGACGGTAAGCGCTGCGGAGAAGTGACAGCCAGGCGGGGGAGGCCTCTTGAAAAGTGACATCTGAAGGGAAGGAGGGGCGAGCCATGTGGATGTCTGCCGGAAGGAAGGACATTCCAGGCAGAGGGAAGGGCAAGTTCAAGGGCCCTGAGGTGGGAACATGCCTGGCGAGTCGGAGAAACAAGGCAGTCCAGGCAGCTGGAGGGTGGTGGGGGTGGGAGAAGGCGAGTGGGCGGACTCAGGGCTTGTGTGCCTTGGGCAGGACTTCGGTTTCATTCTGAGAGAAAAGGAGAGCCATTCGGGTGTCGTGATGGGCACAGTGGCAACCTGGCACTTTTTAGAACGGGGGAAAGGGATGGAGGGTGAGGGGTACCTAGGAACTCTCTGTACTCTCTGCCCAATTTCTCTGTGAACCGGAAACTGTTCTTTAAAAAAGTTCATTTAAAAGAGAGAGGGAGGGAGGGGGAACCCAGGGAGCGGGGAGGCTGGCTTCAGAGGTGTGCATGGAGGGACAGCGAGTGGCCGGTTCCGGCTGCGTTCTGTAGGCAGAGACGGCAGGACTTGTCCCTGTGCTCAGCACAGAGATAAAGAGGGGACAGCGGGCTTTTGGCCTGAGCACGGGAAGGATGCAGCTGGCGTTACCCAGGGAGGGGAAGACACAGAGAACTTGGAGCTTCGGGAGAAGAAAGGACAGAGGTCAAACTCCAAACTAAAGACACTGATAGCCCGAGATGCTGGGACTGGCCGCGAGGAGCAGGGGCAGAGCGGGGATAGCTGTGGCTCCTCCCTCCTGGCCTGGCTATGGTTCCATCCGTGTCCAACCACGGGCACAGGCAAGATGGCAATGACCTCGAGGCCCTTCTAGAGAACAAGTCCTGGGGGTGCGTGTATGAGAAAGCCCTCCTCCACCTGGTTCGTGAGCTGGGCTTCATAGAGGTCATGAGGGGGTGAGGCCCAGAGCTGGGGCCTTGGCGTGCGTCACCCTGGGCCCCTCCCTGGCTTCTTAGCAGCCCAGCTCTTGGGACAGCTGGGCTGCTAAGGGCTCCTCTGAACCACACCAGCCAGCCCTCATGGCAACCAATGAAATGGGGTATGTTTTGGGGGGAAGACGGGGGCAAGGGAGAGGCGAAGCAGGTTCTGACCTGTGCCACCCACCTTGCGGAGCCCTGGATGGCTGACCGGAGGCAGAGGCGAGCCCTGGGATCAGGCAGACGAGTAGGGGCCTGGTCAGAGAGCCCCTTTCTGAAGAGCCAGGACTTGATCTCATGGGTGGGCTGAATCAAGCAATTCTATTCTCAGATTGAGTCCTTTCTGCTGATGGAGCATGGGTTTGAGGCAACCCTGGGCAGGGAGACCAGTTGGGGGGGTTTGGGGGGCCAGATCCCCCATTGATGGGAGAAAAGCAGGATGGGGGCGGCCCACAGAGATCCGGGCACGGCAGGAGACGGGGTCGGGGAGCTTGGGACCACCTTGTGTTTCTCCAGGACACCCCACTCTGCTCACTCTCTGGTTGTCAGGACAGGAGAGGGGCTCAGGGGCACGGGTGGGGAGGGTCTAGGCGAGAGAGGAGGTTCTAGGCTTAGTTTTGCCACAGGTGGATGAGAGGGAGACACCGAGTGAGCTGTGAGGCCTTTTGCCCTCTGACGACCTGGGGCCCCGGGCTAAAGACAGAGCTTGAAGATTTCTGACAGTATAAGTCCCCACCCCCCACCTCGCAGCCCAGAGGGTGGGACGAGGGGCATGGGGCGGGGAACGTGGACTGGGGAAGAGACCTGAGCTCTCAGAACCACCAGCGACCTGGCTGGCTAAGTGTGCAGCCTCAGACCTCACCCATCCAGCTGTGGCTGACATCTGAAGCACCACGATACGCCCTGCCCCCACCTCCACCAACCTCTGCATGGGACGGATTCCCCTCGCCTTTCAGGGGTCACCTCTTCCAGGAAGCATTCCTCGACCTCAGCCTCTCCCCAGACTAACCTTAAACCTATGGTATCCTAATTGCCAGTTTGCCTGTCTGGCTCCCCATGAACCCCTCAAGGTCAGGGGTTGTACTGTATTTGCCCTACCCCCATGCCTAGCACACACCTGCCACATAATATGTGCTCAACAAAAGACTAATGAAGAAATTCAATAAGCTGCTGTTTCACATTATTGGGGAAAAATATCAGTTTTCTTACCAGATAAATTGGATAAAACATAATAACGTCCTAGGCAACACCGTAATTCCCTGCTGAATTAATTTATACATTCGCTTGCAAGCTTAATAATATAGCCATATATTTTAGAGAGAACAGGTGGTGGTGAATGACAGGCTTAATTAGGCAAATCATTTCACCTAAAATAAAAATATACAAACTCCAAGTGCAGTGATTCAGGAGCAAAAGAAAAAAAAACCCGTTAAGAACAAAAGCTCCAAACACTACTGCCTTCATTCCTTCTAATTAAGTTTCACTTTAATCTGCAATTTAAAATGGCAATTCTTTTAATTTAGTGATTTTCTGCAAAAGATAAAGGAAGACACAGCCCTCAAAAGAATATCTGCATTTAGAGAGAAATTGTGCCGCCCTGCAGAATTGTGAGAGTGACGGGGCCTAATTAATCCCACCTATGGGCAATTAGGAATGGAAGTCAGAGTTCCGTAGGAGGGAGGGGAGACAGGAGGGCGGGACCAGCCCCCTCCCCCCTCCCCACCCCCCTCCCACCCGGGCCACAAGAGAGGAGGCCCAGGGAGCGGCTCCACCAGCCTCTTCTCCAGGGCAGGTGAAAAGGGCCCTTTTGCGATGCCTGAAATGTCCCTCTGAAGGTGGTCTGAGGGCAGGCCTCACCCTTCCAGACCCAGCTCAGGTGCCCCCCACGTTCCAGGAGGCCTTTATTCCCCCTCCATCCAGATCCGTCTCCAACGCGGGACCCCTTCCTGCTGGTACAAGAAAGGCCCCGCTGTCCCAACATCACTGCCAGGTTCTGCAACTTTAAGCGAAGCAGGATTACCACCGGCTAACGACAAAACCAGTTTTACCAGGGGCTGATTGGTGTCAACAAGAGTTGGGTTCCTTTGGCGGCTCATCAGCGTTATAATGGAACAGGGCTGTGTGGAAGGGCGTCATCTGAGGACCGGGCTGTATTATACAGATTTTGCACTGATTGGTCCTGAAGTTCGGTCACTGAAAACGAGGGAGGACGGTGTCCTGGGCACCCACACCAGCTCTGACCCTCACAAGGACCCTGCCATCCTGTGGGTGATG